TGCAATGATTCTGTCAGCCAGTTTGGGTTTTATCAGAACACCAACGCGGCCTGAGCCTGCGTCGTGATATCGACACCTGAGCAGATTAGTTTCCACCCGCAGAGGTTCAGAATTCCAGAGCCCCTTGTCGCTTCGGTGACGAGATTTCAAGTATGTCGAGTTGATACCTTGCGGCCTCATGAAGTAGCTCCAGCTCATTCCCTCTTAGTAAGAATATGTTCCAGTTTGCGACTCTAAGGTCCCAGTGACGATATCGTTTTCGTTGAGCCTTTCCTGACGTGCTGTAATGACATCGCGCTGTCTGCGTCCTCCGTTCAGAAAGGTTAGGGTCTCCATGAAGTCATGCCGTTCATTGTCATTTTTATATGGTTTCTGAATTTTTTTCCGCCAAGTTTTTGTCGAGTTAAATTTAAGACCAGAATCTTTGCGCCGAGTACAATTTTATGTTAACCAGTTACTGATTGAATTCTGCTATATATCCGATTAATGCTGTTTTTGCATATGATCAATTTGAAATCTTTCTTAAAATTTTGAGATATCAGATTTCAGTATAGCCTTTGAAGGTTGATCGCCTTTATTTTTCACTAAGAATGTTGAGAATGGCGGATAAGGTAAATTCTGCTTCATTGCGTTGCTTACGGAAATGATTTAGCGTGAAGCTGAACTACTGATGGCGTTAATTTCTGCTTTCAGTGAAGTGGTGCTTCTCGAGTTCACCGTTGTATTTAAGGATGGTACACACTGCGAGGATACCCAAGCGGAACTGAGGAAAAAACGCTTGATGACATGGAATAAAAACACGAAAAAACTGGTGAACACTACTGAGGTGACAAGGTCTATAACAGAGCGTACAACTGTATCAGAAACTTTCATACAGCCAGTCACCGAAGAAGAGTTCGTTTCCATTCCAAAATACTTAAAAGGTGAGAAAGCGACAGTTTCATCTATCTGCTTATTCAGCATGTCTGATTCGCTGCTTTTAGGGACCTGCAAGCATAACGCGGTAAACGACATTGTTAAAGCGTTGAACAAAGCCCTACAAAAAAAGTATCGTTTGCTGGCGCTAGATCGACGTAAACAAAGTAAGAAGATTCGTGATTTGATACGCTCGTACGAAGAACAAGAAACGGACGAGTGCAGAGGCACTGTTTTCTGCACCGATGCTAATCTACGAGAACAGTGCGAATCGGCGCAGTACGCGCGGATTCGTACGGCTGTTTCTATTCTTCGACACCTGCAGAAAGTGAGAGAAGTCCGCATCAAAAGCAGTGTCAATTACATCGTCTTAAACCCTGCCTGCTATTAGAACATCATTCGGAATACTGATTTTGGTCGACAACTCTGCGCAGCTGTTAATGGAGATAAAAATATTTTTATTCATCATAAAATATTCATTTTATTTAACATTTATTTTTGTTTACCATTTTAATTTTTATTTACCATTTGTGTTGCTTCAAGTCACTCAGATTTATTTTGCCCACATTTCAGCGATATTGGCAGTTCTTTTACTTGATGGAAGGTGCGTAGCTAATCCCGATTAAAAGATTTCAACGGGCTTAGTCGCAAATTTGAAAACCTTTTAAGTGACAAGCCCTGTTTGTTTTATGGCGTTTCTGAACAAGCTCACAAGCGAGATTCTATAACTAGATGATTATTGGTAACTATTTCATTATAGCTCCATCACTGCATAGATTACCTTCATTCACCAATGAGATGAATTATTGCCGTCGGCGAAACTGCTGAACATCTAACGTAGTGAATAGATAGGTTCAAATATACGAAGCGCTGAGTATAATATAAAAAGTATTTACAAGTTTGTGTTACTTTCATTTCTGGTGTATAAAAGTCTTGCGAAAGAATGGCATGGACGACTTGCGGACCAATATGTTAATGCGGTAACAAGCGAAAGTTTGTATGATCGTTGGGATATTAACCTCTTTACACTTCCATTCTGGGTGCTGCTTTTGACACCGTTTTTTGATGGTACTTAGGTACGGTGTTAATCTGTATCGCTATGCAGTCAGCCATAAATATTTTATTTTCAGTGGCAGTGTCTACAGCTAGATAGTTAGTACCGTATATAGTTTCTTGTGTACGTCGCACGTACTGATTCTCATTTTTTGATTTTGGAAGGATGAAAGGCGATTTCCCTAGCCAGAACTCGAATCCGTGATCGACAGTAATTAACCAATACTCTTTCGCTATGTATGTAATAAATAAATACATAATTGCTGTGGATATAGATCGACCAGTTTAAGTTTTCTACAGGACTATAAATCTTGCAGTACACGACAAGCACTGCACTTAAGAGGCATGAAAAACATTAGACTGTTGAAATTCCCAGCGGCACATTGAAAAAATGCCAATGTTGGTAAGATATGAGTTCTTATTTTTTTTCAGAACGTCGAAGAAGCGATGTATGGATATTTACGTAGTACAGTGCAAGAATGGGATACTGGTGAACAACAATATGCTCAGCTTACTTCCAAGAAGTTGTAACAAGTGTTTTGAATTCGATAATATACAGTAACAGAAACGTGTGAGGAGGGTCTTCGCTGTAGCCACTAATTGAAATATTCGCAAGTTCCTTTCAATAAATGTTGCTACAACGACCACGCGGTTTTGTGAAACTATTGATTAATTTCGAATCCCAATTCAATAGCGAGGAAAATTGGTCGAGCGGCACAAAGTAAGGCTGTAAGAACAATAACGTAAAAGTTTTGCGCAGCACAATGGGATTCCTAGCGGACGAAGCCTCGGCGTAGGAAATGCAGCTCTCCTGATCTTGACTCGCTGAACAGATGCGCTCTTGGCAGTTAAATAAATTGGAAACGTAAACTCCAAGTTATTTCACAGCAACTTTTCAGATTTAATAGTAGGTAACTACTTTAGCAGAATGAACATCTTATATAAGATGGTATGACGTTTAAAAAGCCTTGACTAATTCTGTGCAGATGCACAGTTGCTAAGCATGATATTCGTTGTAGTATTGATCTACTGGTCTACTCGGTATTGATTTAAGCAATTTGCCCATTGTTTCGGATCGCACCGAATCCATCTTCATAGAACGGGGTCCTAATGATAGACCCAGCGAAATTCGAAATGTCAGGATAATTATACATACAATATCAGAGGCTTAAACCCTTTGAATACTATCATGCTCAAAAATGATTTGCAACTTACGTACTGAATTAGTCTAAGCCATCAAGACTTAAATATTCACGTCTTAAAAATCACGGAATATTTAAAATATCAAATAGATAAATTCTGTTCGCTGATAGAAGCGTTCGTTGACTCTCGTTAGATGACTTCTGTTACGTTATCTAAGAAGAGCCAAATAAAAAGCTTATAAAAAGCAAGATCGCTCTTCTCAGAAAGGATTATCTCTACAAATACTGACGGAGATTGACCACCTCAACAGTATTAATGTGCTAATTGTTCACAACATCTGCTCGTCTCAAGATCTTTGGAAAAAAAAGCACTATGTAATTCTAGCAATCGGGTCTCTGTTGATACGTCCGCGGAAATTGGAACTTTGAATGAGTTATTTCCGGTGCTTTAAAAAAGATCAGAACCTCCATAGCAATTACAGTTGCCTCTTCAGTTCGAGAGTTTCACTGAACCTGCCCAGTTGACATCCTTGCAGATCAAATATTGTTTCGCCACTACTCTCTCATTCGATCGCCGGTCCGATTTCTGTTAGTCTAACACTACTCTTCCGAAATTTGCTGTGTTTATTGCCGAATTTACGATCACTGCTTGTTGGAGTCAGCCATTTCCGATTACTGGTGTGTATCACGCTAGACCCCGGTTCCAAAGAAACACAACCGTGTCTGCGACCTAACTGCTTTTCGGCCAGTTGAAATAACCCTTGAATATCTCGTTTTACGAAATATTGATAAAGCTATTGTGCTGCACATTGACTCATATCAATTCGTGTATAAGGCCAAGACGGGTAAATGTGACGCATTTTCTTACTTCACCAGCGCAGTTGCGGAATGTTTGGACAAACTGGTCATTTCTCACGAAGCACTGACTATTTCAGCGCCTTCAATACAGTACCCCTTGACCTCCTATCCACACCATATTGGTTTGGCGGATAATCTGTTGGACAGCCTAATATCTGTTTCACAGAATGTAATTCATACTCCAGGGTTACAAGAAATCGACTACCATGGCTAACAATCTAGGGCTCCTTCAAGGAGCACCTTTATCCTCTCGGCTATATACTTATTCATAAGTGGCTGTTTGTTTGCCAGTCCGCCTCTGTGCTTCACATACGCTGACGATACCGTCCTGGTATTTATCAGAAATAAAGGCAACATGGATACCTATCAGCGGTTGATCGGAGTCATCGAATATCTCTAAACTAGAGATCGTCTCCATTTAAATGCCCGGAAAACTCACGAGCTTGTATTCGTTGCTAAGAGCCCTACAAGTCTCAGTTTGCTGAGTGAGTCTGCTCAGAATATCTTCGGGAACAGAAATATTATTCCTCGGGTTAAGCATGTCAAGTTCTTTGGAACTGTCATCAATGACAACCTGTAGT